AAAAAGGAATGAACCACTGATACATGGAACACTCTGAAGAATTCTTCAGAGAATTATGCTGAGTGAAAAAGCCAATCCAAAAGGTTATATACTGTATATTTCATCATTCTTGAAATAACAAAATTATAGAAGTAGACAACAGAATCAAAATTGCCATGGATTAATGAGAAGATGAGGGTAACAGAATTGTGTGTGTTTATCAAAAGGATTTTTGTAGTCATGGAAATGTTCTGTATTGATTGTATCAATGTAAATATTCTGGTTGTGATACTGTATCATAGTTCTGTAAGATGTTAGTAATTGTGGTAACTTGGTAAAGAGTAAATGTGACTTCTGCATTATTTCCTACAACCGCTTACTGTAGGAAAAATTGTTCCTTGACCTTTAGCATAAGACTTGCTTCCTGCTTGAGACCTAGAGAATCACAAGAATGGCACATGAGTTGTGTATGTGCAGGAGATCAGAAAACTGGCCTCCAAGAGAGAATGTATATGTGTCTTGAAAAGCAAGACAGGCCTAATGGTTATAGTAAGATTTTCTAGATTCCAAAGGTCTCTTGATGCTGAAAGTAGAGGTCTTGCTTAAGGTCTGAGGTTTTGGAGACATTCTGTCTGCCACTTTCCATGTTCCCCCTTTTTACTGCTGATGTCTGATAACTTTTAACTACTTTTTCTTGCTTTGTGATAAAAAATATGGACCCAAGGTTTGCTCAGGAGGGCTCCTCCCAGAGTTCATCAATGTCCCCCACACATGGACTTCATGTCAAGCCTCTTCATTCCTCAAGTCAAAACCCTTTCATCTCGTGACCCTGAACCCCTTCACCTGTGAACCTATAATTATCTCAAAATAAAATTTAATTTAAGAAATCAAAAGGGCTTAGCGCCTATAGGTCAACCGGCTAAGGCGCCAGCCATATACACCTAAGGTGGCGGGTTTGAATCCCCAGCCCGGACCCGCCAAACAACAATGACAGCTGCAACCAAAAAAAAATAGCCGGGCGTTGTGACGGGTGCCTGTGGTCCCAGCTACTTGGGAGGCGGAGGCAGGAGACTCACTTGAGCCCAGGAGTTGGAGGTTGCTGTGAGCTGTAATGCCACGGCACTCTACCCAGGGGGACAGCTTGAGGCTCTGTTTCAAAAAAAAAAAAAAAGAAAAAGAAATCAAAAGAAGTATAATATTTTATGATATGAGAAATCATACTCAATTCCAATTTCAGTGTTCAAAATTCAAATTTTATTAGAAAAAAAGTTGGTTCTGAACTAAAGAAACATATCTTAAGGTCAGTTGATGAGCAACCTTAATTTCCCCTTGCCATGTAACATACTATATTCACAAGGTCAGGGGATAAGGATATGGACATCTTATAATTATTCTGCCTATAAGTACATGTCATGCATATTCATGCTATAAGTACATGTCAATCATTCTATTGCAGTGCATTGAAATATTTCTCATTTATTTATTTTCTCCAAATGTCTGAGGCAGGAAAATAAGGCTCATGGCAGTCTTGACAATGGTCCTTAGGAGCTGATATTGGCTTCCATCCTTGGCTGAGGAGGAACTGGACCCTCCACAGCCCCAAGAGTATTTCTCATTTGTCTTTATAGCTGCCTAATACTCTAGTGGTTAGATACACTATAGTTCATTCTATCAGTCTCCCAGTGATGGACATAGGTTTGTTTCTAATCCTTAGCTTGAAGGCCTAAATGAATAATCCTGTCTGTATGTCATTTCATAGCATCAATGTATCTTTGAGATGGGTTTTTAGAAGTGGCATTGCAGGAACAAAGGATACTTATATATGTTGTCTTGCTATATATACTTATATAGCTATATATATATGTAGGGAATATATAAATATATATATAGGAGTTGACATTTTGCATTCTCATCAGGAATGTGTGAGAATTCCTCTTTCCTGAAGAATGCAATATGCTGCCAATCTGATGACTAACCGTAACTTAAAAAGAATTTTATATTTTGAGTGAAGTTGACATCTTTACAGATGCTTGAGGGATGCTAGAATTTCTTATTCTGTCACCTGTTCATTTATTTTGCCCATTATTTCTCTCTTGGATTATTTTCTTCCAAACTTTTAGAAGCACTTTATTTGGAATAGTAGCCCTTTTCTAGTATAATTTGTCTTTTGACTTTCCTTTGGTATTTATTGAAAAGCAAGACACTTTATTTTTATGTAGTCAGGTTTACCATTTTTATTGTTTTGGGGGTTTGGGGGGTTTTTTTGTTTGTTTGTTTGTTTTGGCCAGGGCTGGGTTTGAACCTGCCACCTCCAGCATATGTGGCCGGCGTCTTACCCCTTTGAGCCACAGGCACCGCCCCATTTTTATTGCTTTTGTATTTTGAGTCATATGGTTAGTATTTCCCCAGTCCCAGGTGTTATTACTCATATAGCCTCCTAATACATATATAGATGCATTTTTTACACTTAAATCTCATTCATTTAGAATTTATCTCCTTTATGGTGTGTGATGGGAGATACGAATCCAGTTTTACCTTTGACCACATGGCTGTCAGTCATTCTAGTACAACTTCTTTGTTAAGACTTTCATTTCCTCATTGATATGTGATGCCACCTTCATCATTTGTTAAATATCCATAGTTACCTGGGTCTATTTCTAGTCTATTCTGTCTGTTCACACACCAGAATCAAAGTATGTTTTAGTATCTGATAAGGCTTTTCCTCACGACTATTCTTTTTTCAGAGATTTCCTGGCTATTCCTATTTCTCTTTTTGAACATTGTAATTAGTTTGTCTACCTAAAAAGTGTTTGTCGGCATTTAGGGAACATGGACCTCTTTGAGT